TTGATGCAGCCTGCTCGGCTCGCACGCGAGGACGAGGTCTCACTAGTTTCTCCGACCCTAGGGGGTAATATATCAAAGGGACGTTTGAACCATGGCTGCAACAGTGGAGAGAGGCCGACCAGAGCTACGCGCAAGAACTCGGCGAGCTTGGCCAAACTTGAAGCAGCTCCTGCACTACATCGGGGTCGGCACGCTCGAAGGCCACTGCATGCAACATTGACACCTTTACTTGATCTGCAGTGGGTACCACGTTCTCCGACGGAATGGGACCCACCAGCAGCGACACATAATTGAAAGTTTCCGGAACAAAAAGTGACTGGCAGTCCTGCAATGGATTCTTTTCACTAGTTTATCCAGGAGAACGGCGAGGCTTCCATGATGCAGTTCAGGCCGCAAACGGAAAAGCACTACGACGGCGAGGGCTTAGGTTCGAGCATCTGCAATCATGATCTACGATTGCTGCTACGGCAACTGCGTACGATCACGCCAGGTGGCCAGCGCTTGGCACGGCTGGTGCTCAACATCGCGAGGAGGTGCGTGGCGGAAAGCGAGGAAACTGGAACAGCTCAAATCATTGCAGGACCAGCACTCGAGGGAGATGTCTGGTCGGGACCGCTCGGGCATAGCCTTGGGGGGACGATGTTACAGGTGCCAGGTGCCAGATCGGTTATGGTAGGGTGCAACTGACACCCGCAGAAAGGTTGAGTAGGGCACGCTGGAGACAACTGCTTCGCTGGAATTGGGCACAATCACCACGCTGCCCAGTCCAGATATAACCAGCAGCCGCACGACGGAGGGGGGTCACTCCGCCTGCGTTGTGCCGAAGGGGGGTACTTTTTTAGTCAGCGGCCGCGGGCGAGCGCGCCGGCGGCGACTCCAGTCAAAGCGGGCCACGCAGCGACGAATTAGACTAAAGCAGCGGAGACAGGCCACACCTAAAGCGGCTAACCGGGGCCTCGCGCGGCAACTCAGCGGCGGACCGGCGAGTGGCAGGGGGCGGCTGAAACTGAGTCGTACTGCCAGCGTGCAAAAATGCATGGAGTCGGAAGCCGAGGGATTAATGCATGGGCTCGGACCCCGGACAACTGCGTGAGTACCAGGGTGGCCGCAGCCAAAGGACCGCCTGTCAAGGTGGAATTGATTGGTGCAAGGACGAAACCCCGGACGACTGCGTGAATGCCAGGGTGGCCCGAACGACCGTCGGACAAAGAATTAAAGCCAGGAGGCGAAAGCGTTGGCAGGCTGCAAATCCCAGGGTGGCCGTAGCCGATTGGACCCGAGGCAGCAGAACGCACGAGTGCGGGAAGCAGCGGAGCTGCGACGCAGCCAAAATGGCGCGGGTCACCATAAACCAGTGCGTGAAGTGCCGCCAGGTTGACCCACCACGGGTCCTGAACCGGGCCACGAGCTCGAAGCCGACACACTAAATGGCGACGGGCGGGCGGGAGCACCACGGGAAAGACCCAAGCCTGAGCCCATGGAACCGGTCACACGTGGTGGGGGCGCACGGGTCAGAGCGGTGCCGAAGACGGCCGCCGGCCCCGTATGGGGAAGGAACCGCGATTTGAGCGGCAAAGCGAAGGCCGGTGCGGTGGAGGGACGACACCACCAATCGACGAAGTAGCCGGAGGAAGAACCGCGATTCAAGCGGCAAAGCGAAGGCCGGTGTGGTGGGGGGACGACACCACTAACCGACGAAGAGGCCGGAGGCCAGGAAACGTCAAGAATTCGCACCATCCAACTTACACCACAAAGCTCACACCACAGATGGTGCACTGCATAGATTCACACAAGAAAAATAGACTCGACCACCTTCCCGAGCCCTGATTTATCGATCTCCCCTGGGACAGTGACGTCACCAGTTGTGTCATAATCACACTCGTCGTTACCACCATCGTCATCACCACCACCATCCGTCCAAGGATTGCAGTCGCGACATGGAGACAATAACGTGGATCTAAAACCTTAGCGCATTCGCTGAAGGCCCAAGGCCCCATGCAGATACCCAAAGCGAATAGCATGCCGAGGTGGACAGCCCAAAGACGAAGAACATCAGGGTCCCCCTCCAAAACCAGGATTGTCATCAACACTCGTGTCGGCTGGGAGCGCGACTTGCCGATTCGTCCGCGGTGGCTCCCAAGTCCCATCCAAGCTCCCCGGCGGAACTTTCCCCTCAAAGTGTCACCGCCGCCCCCCCGGATGGAAGTAGCGCTGACCCATGCACACGGTAATGACCAAATGATCAGAGATCATCTTCGATACCTGTGTCATCTGTTTTCCCGTGTTGCACGGTTGAAGCGCATACGTTCGAACGCCGCCTGGTGCAAGCGATTCCGCGCAATCTGGCCGCAGTGGGCACAGCGAGCCCTGAGCCAAAATGGCATTGAAACTGCCAGCCCCACCCCAGCGCCTTCTTCAGAATGTGGCCGCAGAGCATGGAAGTGAGAGATGGAAAGACTCACTTCACGACTTCATCTGAAGATATTCAAGCCAAATCTTGTTTCAGGGGACGCGTTTCCAGAAACATGTCTCCCTTCAGACCGTGTTCCCCCCAAACGCCTGCTTCGGAGTGCAATCGCGAAGCAAGGAAGTGAGATCTACGGCGGATCAATCGCCAGTGCCATCTGGAAACGTCTCCCGAAAAGAAATCTGGCTTCATTAAGCGTGTTTTCAGAGTGGGTCGGTCTCCCCTCAAGCCGTTCCCCCCCCGCCCATCCCAGCGCCTTTTTCAGAATCCGACCACAGAACGAGCAAATGCGAGCTTCAAAGGATCACTCCTTGATGCAGTGTGACAACGTTTGCTGAAGCCAGATATGGTTTCAACAAGGTACAACCTGAGCAGGGTATTCTGTCCTCGCCTTGCTTTCGTGTAAACTGGAGAGTGAATGTGGGGGCCGGGCGCAGGCCCCAGGCAATAGCGTCTCGATGGGCCATGCTTGGGCGACACATCCTCGTTGCTGTGTTCGGCGGGGGAACCACTTGAAGCTCCCCGCCTGCACCCATGCGCGAGCCTTGAGGTTAAGCAAAGCAACGAGACGGGGGGCTGGGAAAAGGCGACGAAGACAACATGCGCTGAGGCCGCAAGAAGAGAAGGTTGGAATAAACGGAAGGGGCGAGGTGAATGTCAAAATCTGCCCGCACAGTCTGACATGCGGAACACTGCGCCTCAGTTTCGGGGATCTTGAGGGCCAGGGCAGCATGTGAATTCACATTGTGGGGAAAAATCAGATGTGAATCCCCATGTTGGGAAGAAGGGAAATATGAATTCAGATTTTGGAGAAAAGGAAAATGTAAATTCACAGTTTGGAAGACTGCATCGGAATCTTTATGAAGGGCCACAACGTGAACTCACATTCCGGGAAAAGGGGAAATATGAATTCACATTTTGGGAGAATCGCGGGGCCCATTCCAAATCTTAGGGGTCGACAAGTCATCGTTTGGAAACATACGCGATCATCAATCGCGCAATCAAGACACACTTGCACTCCACTTCGCCACCCCACGCGCGATATGCAAGAACGCCCGCACGCATGAGCGACAATGGATGGACGGCGCGTTTGCCCGCGCGGGCAACGCGCGGGCACGAACGACTGGTCCTCCATGACCGCCAACATTGGATGCCAATCATACCCGATCACACACACACACACGAGCGATATATTGAGTATACGTGGGCCATTCAGCCCCCATTGCAGACCCCCTGTTGGAGACCCCTTCTTTCACCCTCCAAGTATCGGCTACAAGCAAGAGTGACACTGGGTAAGAGTGACCTTTGGTGCGCGGCTTTTTGGGACCGCGAGGGGGCCGAAAGCAAGCGCGCGAGCCGCTGACACCGCTTCTCTTTCGGCCACCTGGGGGCCCTGCTGTGCCCGCACCAGAGGTCACTCCGGCGAAATCTCACTCTTACGCCCAGTCGAAAGTAAAAGTAAGCTTGAGCAAGAACGCCAACAAGCGTCGTGCGGGCCGTTCGGGAACAGAACAGCAGGGGAACAAGACAGCTGCCCCAGAGCAGCCGACAAGGCAAACGCACAACAGAAACGTGGCGCGGCCGCGAGCCGCCAGCAAACGTGGAACAAAACTAGCGAGCACACAAGCGACGACGACGACGACGATATAGTTGAAGATTCAAGCTGTGAGAGCGCGAGTCAAGGCTTATGTGAGTATTCTGATGCAGATTTAAGCAGCGAGAGCGTGAGGGAAGATTTTGGTGACGATTCAGGTGAAGATTTCAGCAATGAGAGTGCGATTGATGCTTTCGGCCTTCCTCAATAAACAGGTCTCCCTCAAACCGTCTCTCCTCCCCCCGCCGACTCCTTCTTGAGAATCCTATCGCAGAACGAGGACATGAGAGCTGCGAAGGAGTACTTGCCGATGTCTCTGTTGATGAACACCTGCCCAGCAGCCGGCTGACTCAGGCGGAGCACAAGCAGGAGCCGACATACTTGGAACAGAGACGCTGATTCAACAATATGTGTAATCGGAAATGTGATGAGCTGTCGACGTACACCGATGAAAAGGGGAAGAGGCGGAAGAGGAGGAAGAGGAGGAAGAGGAGGAAGAGGACGACGAGAGGCCAGAGGAGGGGGGGCAGGCGGATAGTCGGAGGTTCAGAGTCGTTGAGTGCTAACCGAATAACCTGAACACTTTCCCCCTCCTCACCACCAACATGATCATCACCATGATCGTCATCTTCGCCATCACCACCAGCACCATCACCATGTTCGTGGTCATTTACCATCATCAGCGTCACAATCATCACCGACGCCACCACCACTTCCACCATGATCACTGTCATCATCAGCAGCAGCAGCATCACGATTACCCCCAGCACAAACAGCTCAACCATCACAACTAAAATCGTCATAAACATCACCAACGTCATGATATCCATCTGTATCATCATCATCATCATCATCATCATCATCATCATCATCATCATCATCATCATCATCATCATCCTCCTCCTCATCATCATCATCAACAACAACAACAACAACAACAACATCGTCATCGTCATCGTCACCATCATCGTCATCATCATCATCATCATCATCATCATCATCATCGTCATCATCCTCATCGTCATCGTCGTCGTAGTCATCATCATCACCATCATCAACACCGCCATCAGCATCATCATCAGCAGCAGCATCATCGTCATCATCGTCATCATCAGCAGCAGCAGTTGCATCACCATCACATCATCATCATCATGATCATCATCATCATCATCATCATCAGCATCATCATCATCATCATCATCATCATCATCAGCATCATCATCATCATCATCATCATCATCATCATCATCACATCGTCATCCTCATCATTACCATAATCATCATCAGCAGCAGCATCATCATCAGCATCAGCATCATCATCATAACCTCGTCGCTCCTCCCTCCTCCAGCCTCCTCCTCCTCCTCCTCCACCCGCTCTTCCTCCTCCTGCTCCTCCCTCCTCGTCCTCCTCCCTCCTCCTCGCTCCTCCTCCTCCCTCCTCTCTTCCTCCTCCTCCTGCTCCTCGGCGCTGCAGCAGGTCCTCGCGGCGGAGGAGCCTGGCCGCCTGGCGCAGGCGTGGGACGCGATCGTCGGCATGGCGGAGGCCGAGCTCTGCAGCCGCTGGTACCTCGTGGGGGCTGAGAGGCGGCAGCACACTGGCAGGACGGGCGAGCCTGTCTTCAAGCTGGTCCAGCCGACGTGGCAGCCGCCGGGACGGAGGAAGCTGTACGACCCGAAGGTCAGCGCCCACATGGTGGCGGCGAGGTGGGCTCGGCATCTGGATGCTGCCCGCACGCGTTTGGTCAAGTTGCTGGGGTGCGACCTGGATGACCGCATCGAGCGGGCCGTGGACCTCATCCTTGAGACCCACCGCTACTACGGCAACGTGGCGAAGTCGCATCGCGTGCTTGGCCAGCTCTCTGTGGACGTCGTGCAGTGGCTCTTGGGCGGCGTGGCCCAGATGAGCAAGGGGACGTGGGCTGCCAAGGTCGAGAGGATCGTGGCGGAGGCTGAGCGGCTCACCAGGCGCTACAACAGTGAGCGTGAGAAGGAATGGCGTGCGTGGGCGGCCAAGAGCCTCACAGGTGGGGCGAGTGCTGCACACCGCTTCACGAAGCTACCTCCTGAGGCTGAGGTCCGTGGGGCCACCACGCGGGCCAGCCCGCACCAGCTGGCTGACCGCGAGCTCGACGGATGGAGGGACGTGTGGACCGTCCATGAGCAGGGCGCCCTGGAGAAGCCTCCTGACTTTGATGACTGGGCCGAGCTCCCGCGGATGAGCGTCGGTCACCTCCGACGTGCAGCGCTGTGTTTCAATGAGCGCACTGCGGTGGGCCAGACGGGCATTGCCCCGCGGGCCCTCTGGCACCTCAGCGACATCGGCCTCTACGTGCTGCCGGCGCTCTTCAGCCAATGCGAGAAGCTGGGGGTGTGGCCGACGGACAGAGTGCACACAGTATTGGTGCGCCTGCCCAAGGCGAGCGGAGGTTGCAGGCTCATTGCCCTTGTGAACTCCTTCCTCCGCCTGTGGGCGAAGGCGCGGTCGACGATTTCGCGTGCCTGGCTCGACCAGGCGGACGTGCCCAATCTCTGGGGCACTGGTGGAGCTGGCAGGACCTCGACGGCAGCAGCGTTCCACCACAACCTGACGGCTGAGATCATGAACATCAATGGAGGGCACAGCGTCACTGTGCTCCTAGATGCGTGGAAAGCGCTCGACAGCCTGATTGGAGGCAGGCTGCTGGACGAGGCTCGGGCCATGGGGTTTCCGCTCCGCCTCAAGTGGGCCATCCTCAGGTACCACCACCTACCGAGGCGCATCAAGGCGTTCGGCTCGATGTCGAAGAGCTTCACGGCGCACCAGGGCATCCTGGCGGGCTGCCCCCACTCGATGGCGGTGCTGGTGGTGGCGACCGCGCGGGCTTTGAGGCGGCTGGCGACGCACGACGCGACCCCGCGCACGCTCGCCGACGACACCTCAGTCCAGCGGGTCGGCACGGACCTGCGAGGCGCGCGCGTCCTGTGGCAGGCCGTCAAGCGTTTCAAGCACGAGGTCGGGGACGTGGGCCTTTTGCTGCAGGAGTTCACGTCGGGCTACGTGGCGACGTCCAGGCAGAGCCGCGATGCAGCGGCGCAGTTTGCCAGGCGGCTCAGGATGGGCTCGCAGCCGCACATGAGGAACCTGGGCCACGACCTGAATGGGACCAAGGCCTGCAGGAAGGTCGTCAAGACCAGGCTCAAGAACGTGAGGCCGCGGCTGAGGCGCGCGGCGAGGCTGCGACGTGCTGCTGGAGGGCGCGCGGCGCGCCTGTGGCAGACGGGCCTGCTGCCTGCGGCCGCCCACGGGGCGGCGGTGAGTGGGGCGCCCCCCTCCGAGCTGGCCGCGCTGCGCTCGGAGGCGGCCCGACTTGCTGAGGCCAAGGGCCGAGGTGGCAGCAACACGCTCTACCTGGCCAGCGAGCGGAACCCGTGGTACGACCCAGTCTTCGCGGCGACCGTCGAGCCGCTCATGCACTACGCTGCGGTCGCGTGGCAGCAGGCGGTGCCCATGAGTGCGCTGGAGAAGGCCTGGCGCGCGACGCTGGACAGGGTCGAGGCGGGCGAGGACAAGGTGGCGCGGGCGTCGGCGCGCGGGCCGCTCAAGGTGGTCGTCCTGTCGCTCAAGCGGATCGGCTGGGTGATGCTGTCGTCGGCGCTGATCCAGCCCGACGTGGGGCCAGTGATTTCGCTCCTGGCCACGTCGCCTCGCTCTTTTTCGCGATCTCCTGAGGCAGGGGATTCAGCGTTGGCAGATGCGCCAGATTGCCTCTCACCATGATGCGGCCGCGCCTCTATGGCCGCGAGGCCTGCGAGCTTGTGCGGGCGGGAAGGGGGCGGCGGTGACTGGGGCGGGGAGGGTCGGAGCTATGCGCAGCCTGTGGTCTGGCTCCCTTTGGCCAAAAGCTAAGTTGTATAGCAAGGGAATGCGTGATGATCAGAGGTGTCGAGCGTGTCCGCACGAGGCCGAGACGCTTGGCCATTGTTTCGTTGAATGCCCAGCGCTGACGCAGCGCTTGTTAGACGATGAGGAGGATTGCGGTCTCGACCCCAAGTTGGCCTCAGCTCGCGACGCCATGTTGGAGCATGGGCCCATCGGAGAGGGCCGCCAGGATGTAGATTCGTTCGCCCTCTCGGTCGGGATCCCCAGGCGGCCCAGGGTTGAAGTGCCGCCGCCTCTGGAGTCGCCTCCCTGTTTCTTTTGGGGAGATTGGGAGTCGGATCCCGAACAGTGGAGTGAATGTGTTTTTACTGATGGCTCGGGATACCACAATGAGTATCCTGAGCTCCGTCGGTGTGGATGGTCCGCTGCCATGCTGAATGCCAATGGAGTCCCCACTCGTGCGCTGTATGGCGGGCTCGCAGGCGCGCAGCAGACAGTGGGCCGTGCTGAGCGTGTTGCAGGCCTCAAGGCCCTGCAGCACATGCCTTCGGTCCAGTGCGTGATTTCTGACTTGCTGGAATTCGTGCAGGAAGGCAAGCTATGGGGCCAAGGAGAGACAGAGGCCCTTACCGATGCTAGCCGTGCATACCCTGCAGTGTGGCGCAAGCTGGTGGCGCTGAAAAGAACGCCGCCCGCCTTTGCATGGGTCCCGCCCCACAGGACTGGGGATGAGGTTCTCTTCCCCGCTTCTGAGGACCCTCCGCCTCCTCCCTATCTCTGGGTCGTGGGGAATAGTTGGGCAGATTTTTCGCTAAGCTGGGAGCCCTTTCGGTCAAGCCCCCTGAGGCCCATGCTAGGTTCTATAAGGACTCGCTGACTGAGGCTGCCCAGTATGCCAAGTATTTGTCGTGGGCGGTCCAGAGAAGCTGTCAGCTAGATCTGCGGTCCGAGACGGCTGTCCTGACGGCTGCCCCGAGCAGGGCTCCCAAGGCGGACGGAGCCAGAATGGTGCTGCTAATACATAAGCATGACCTCATTGAGATTCGAGGGAGGCTCGTGTGTCGTCGATGCCGTCGCACTGCAAAGACCGCCGAGGCTCGCAGGCAGTTGACGGGTGGCACGGACCGACGCTGTGTGCTTTCTATGATTTCCCGAATGCAGGCAAATCTGATCGAGGCTGCCGCCAGTGCCGCCGTGAGGCCGCCGACGGCCCGCTGGGGGTCTGCGGAGGGGCCGCCTGGTGGCCTTGGGGGTGCCCGTGAGGTTGGGGCCTCGGCTGGGTCCGTTCCTGCTGCTGCTGGGCTTGGGTCGGCTGTGGCTGGGGGCTCGGCTGGGGTGCGCTGGGGGGGGCCTGTGCCTGCCCGCGAGGGCGGGGCTGGGGTTTCCTTTGGGGCTGAGCCTGGGGGCTCGGCGTCTTTGGCCTCTGGGGAGGCCGTGCGTGTGGGGCCTGTGCCTGCCCGCGAGGGCGAGGCCGGGGCCCCTTCTGGGGGTGCTGCGGGCTCTGGGGAGCCTGCGGCGGCGGATTGGTGTCACGCGCCTGGGGGACACGACGTCACCGCCACGGGTACGGTCGTCTGGTGTCGGCGGTGCGGGGCCTACGGGTCCGTCAGGGTGGGGAAGGCCTTCAGCTCCCCCTGCCCTGACCCCAAAGACTTGCCCAAGAGCAGGAGGTCGGTCCTCAGTGCTCTCCAGAGAGGCAAGCACCCTAAGACTGGGCAGTCCCTCACGGGGTGACTGATGGTCTGAGGGTTTAATTTTCCCTCTTAGAGTGGTGTCTGTGAGCAGACGCTTTCTCTTCAGTGCTTCCCTGCTTCCCTCCTGTCTCCTCCCCCTCCTCCTCCTCGTCCTCATCCCTCTTCCTCGCTCATACTCCTCCTCCTCCTCCTCCTCCTCCTCCTCCTCCTCCTCCTCCTCCTCCTCCTCCTCCTCCTCCTCCTCTCCTCCTCCTCCTCCTCCTCCTCCTCCTCCTCCTCCTCCTCCTCCTCCTCCTCCTCCTCCTCCTCCTCCTCCTCCTCCTCCTCCTCCTCCTCCTCCTCCTCCTCTCCTCCTCCTCCTCCTCCTCCTCCTCCTCCTCCTCCTCCTCCTCCTCCTCCTCCTCCTCCTCCTCCCTCCTCTCCTCCTCGCTCCTCCTCCTCGCTCCTCCTCCTCCTCCTCCTCGCTCCTCCTCCTCGCTCCTCCTCCTCCTCCCTCCCCATTCCCCCCTCCTCGTCCGCCTCTTCTCCGGGGCCCCCGAAAATGTATCGCGGCGAGGTGTGCACTCCCGGGGGAGGAGGGGACTTCCGCCGACTCCCCGCCCGCGGCCTCGAAGGCCTCCTTCAGCGACTTCTGGAACAGCGAGTCCTGCGAGAAGCACTCCTGCACGATGCCCTCGCGCAGGCGGTACCCCGGCCAGCGGGGGGGAGGAAACAGGAGGAGGAGGAGGAGGAGGAGGAGGAGGAGGAGGAGGAGGAGCGAGGAGGAGGAGGAGGAGGAGGAGGAGGAGGAGGAGGAGGGGGAGGAGGGGGAGGAGGGGGAGCAGGGGGATGAGGTAGACAAGGGGGAGAAGGGGGAGGAGGAGGAGGAGGAGGAGGAGGAGGAGGAGGAGGAGGAGGGGCAAGAGTCAGGTGCCAGCTCGGACGAGTCGCAGGGCCCCGCCAATTCCCAGCCCCCTCCCACAAAAATCATCTGTGGCACAACCTGATATTGTGATTGGAACGGGCTCCCACCTAGCAAATGGAAGGCGCTCGCGCGCGGGCCCGCTTCCGAAGACTTGGCGAAGGGAGAACTACGAGGCCCGCGCAGGGGCGGGAGCGACAAAACTTCCGACGGGCGCGGCGAAACAAAGCATGCGCCGCGCTGACAACGCACTGCCACTTGCACTCACAACCTGCGCGGTGCTCGGGCGAGGTCGGCCCATCGCCCGCCTTCGCGCGGTGCCGCTGCCGCTGTCGTTTTCGTGCGATTTCGGCGCACGAAGCACGCGCCACGCTCGCGCGGGAAGGCACACTTCCGAGCGACATGCGCACGGAGCTTGTGCGAGGGCGGCAAGTCGCCCGCTCACTCGCCCCCCAAAAATAACGAGTGACGAAAATGCGCCGCGTCGAGGCGGGAGCGCCACGTGGCGTCGAAGCGCTCTTCTGCGCCATGCTTGTCCATCCACCGCGTACCCCCTTGGGATCATTGCCCTGTTCGGAATCCGACTGCGCGAATATAGAGAGAGGAGATCTGCGCCATGGTGAAAGATGGGAGGGAGGGGTAGGACGTCAGCTGTGACGCTAGCGCATCCAGCTTGCCCCTCCCCTCTTCCCCCTTCCCCCTCCCCTCTCCGCAATTACACAGTATGAATACTACTCTCCTCTCTCCCCTGATGACTTCGGGAAGATATCCAGCCCCCCTCCGCGCACTCTATTTTAACACACAGGATTCCCGTGAACTGGGTTTTCGTTTGGGTTGTTTTCAAAATGCTGCTCCCGCTGAAGCGCTAGTCTCATTTCGGGCTTCCGCTCATTCCGAATCGTGCTCCCGCTGCAGCGCTGGCCTCTTTTCCGCGCTTCCGCTCGTTCCGACTCGGGCTCCCGCTGCAGCGCTGGCCTTCCTTCCAAATAAGCCCCAAAATCTAAAAAATGGCACCCCGAAAAGACCATCGGAAGTGATTACACATTCGATGTTGATTCGTTGATTTTTTGGGGCCGCAGAAGCCCCCCCCGGGGCGTCGTCGTTTTCAGGAAGTATCAAGCGGGAGCCCCGCTTCTGCTTTGAGAAGGCGATGTTGAAAGCAGCTCCAGCGGGTGCCCTCCATCAGCCCCGCCTTGCGTGGAGCTTTTCAGGGAGCTCAAGGAGCTAGACATGTGGTGACGATTCCGGACCGGCCCAGACTTCTCGAAGACGGTCCACTTAGCCTCCAAGGAGCCTGGCGTCATGCCATGACATGCTGTGCGGTGTTGTGTTCTGCGCCGCTGTGCGATGCCATGCTTTGCATTGCAATGCTTTGCGATGCAATGCCTCACTGCGCAATGCCACGCCATGCTGTGGCGTGCTACGCTCTGCCGTGCTCTTCTACGCCATGCCATGCCGTGCTCTACCATGCACCGCGTACCTTCTCGCCACCATTGCCCTGCTCGCCATCCGACTATGCGAATCGAGAGGATGTCTGCGCCACGGTAAGGGATGGGAGGGAGGGTGGGACGTCAGGCAGGCCGCGACCGCACCTAGCTTGCCCCCCCCTCCCCCCCCCTCCCTCCCTCCTCCTCCTCTCCTCCTCCTCCTCCTCCTCCTCCTCCTCCTCCTCCTCCTCCTCCTCCTCCTCCCTCCCTCCTCCTCCTCCTCCCTCCTCTCCTTATTATTCTCCTCTTACCCCTCTCCCTCCCCCTCCCCCTCCCCCTCCTCCTCCTCCCTCCTCCTCCTCCTCCTCCTCCTCCGCCTCTTCCTCCTCCTCCTCCTCCTCCTCCTCCTCCTCCTCCTCCTCCCCCTCCTCCTCCCCCTTCTCCTCTTGCTGCACGCTTGTCCCCGCTGGCAGCCTTGAAGCGCTCGTGGAGGTCCAGGAGCGTCTGGATGAAGGACGGGTCGCCCAGCGCCTCCGACTTCGACGCCATCTGCTTCGCCTGCCCCAGGTGGCATCGGGAGCGCTGGCGCCGTTGTTGGATTAGAATCGGGGCATCAGACTCGATCGGACCGAGCGCTGGATCGGGCCGCATCGGCACCGAGACGACATCGGACCAGATCGGCCGTGCTACGCAGAGCAGCGCCTGGGCGAGCGCCGGGTCGAACCAGATCGTCGGAAAACCAGAGGCGAACTGGATCGGGCTGGCCCGGCCAGAATCGTCATCGAATCGGCAGGTCGGATCGAAGTGGCTGGAGGGCGGGCGCCATCGCGCCCCGATATTCCCGCCTCTTTCTGAAGGAGGAAGAAGAAGGAGAAGAAGAAGGAGAAGAACAAGAAGAAAGCGGCACAGGCACAAACTCTCGGAGGCCCGTGCGGACTCCTTGGGCCCGCGCCGATCCCATCGGGCCCGACTTGCCAATGCAGTGCCGGCTGCTCCTGGAGTGGTGCGAGCCCTCCCCGCCTCCAGCCCTCGGCCTCGGGGACGCGCCGACCCGGGGCAGCGCAGACCCGGGCCAGCCAAGGCCGTATCCTGGACCCGGGCGGGCCGCTCAGAAACTTAGGGGGCCACATGCGAGCCCTACCCCTAACCCCCACGATTTCTGAGGGGGAGGGTGGGGTTCACTTCGCTCGGGGCTCTCCCGAACGGAGTGAACCCCACGCTCCCCCTCAGAAATCGTGGGGGGTAGGGGTAGGGCTCGCATGTGAGCCCCTATCAAAAACTCCCAACCACGAGCGGCGAGCGCATCCGCATCCGCGCCCGCGCGGTCTGGATTCCATGGTAAAACAGGGCCAGGATTGGGATAAATCGCTCCAGAGCGTTCCGGAGCGCTCTCAGAGCGTTCCGGAACGCTCTGGAGCGGCCGCGGCGCCCAATACATCCTCCAAACCCGCCGATTCTCAGAGATTTCGAGTTATCCCGATCCGATTTTGTCCCGATCTTCGTGTCGTTTTACCGGGTGCGGTCCCGCGGGTGGGCCTTCGCACGGCTGCGTTCTGCGCAGGGCGGTGCCCCGTAGCCGCGGGGCCGCGGCCAAGGGGGCCTGGCCCGCGGGGCCGCGGGTGCGGATGCGGCTCCGACCAGGTCAGCGCAAGGAAGGGAAGGTAAAACGACGCGAAGATCGGGACAAAATCGGATCGGGATAACTCGAAGTCTCTGAGAATCGGCGGGTTTGGAGGATCTATGGGGCGCCGCGGCCGCTCCAGAGCGCTCCGGAACTCTGAGAGCGCTCCGGAACGCTCTGAGCGATTTATCCCGATCCTCCTCCTCCTCCTCCTCCTCCTCCGCCTCCTCCTCCTCCTCCTCCGCCTCCTCCTCCTCCTCCTCCGCCTCCTCCGCCTCCTCCGCCTCCTCCGCCTCCTCCTCCTCCTCCGCCTCCTCCTCCTCCTCCTCCTCCTCCTGGGAAGGGGTGTCGGCTTCGCGCGGCTCCCAGACCCAGGTCAGACACGCGGGATCAGGAGGGGACCGGCCGGCCCGCCCCGAGATGCAGTGCTCCGAGGGGGAGGGAAAAAAACAAAATCATGCTGACGGAGTTCCCCGCATAAGGATGCTTCGGGGTTGGCAGGATCACGAGGGCATGAAAGCAGTGACAAAAAATGAAGGCCTATGGTGTCCATATATTGTCGTGGAAGGGCCGACGGAGGCGAGGAGGGGAAGCAGCATGGGGGGGAGGATGGATGTGCAGGACGCGGTCAAAGGAGGCCGCGGTCGGCAGCATTAACCTCAACAGTGCAGAATGGGCAGTTCGGGCGAGCAAGAGCAGGAATGCCGATAAGGCGGGGAGGAAGGAGAAGAAGACGTGGAAGAAAGAAGTGGTGATGATGGCAATGGTTGACGAGGAGGATGGTGTCGACGTCGTTCGGCGCCAGGGCCTCCCTGGAGGAGTGGAAGGGGCACGAAACCTTGTAAATAGTATGGTTTTGGGATACCCTCCTCGCTCAGGCGGGGCTTGCCTAGAGGGGTGGGAGGTACACGAAACCTTGTAAATAGCTTGGTTTTGGGATACCCTCCTCGCTCAGGCGGGGCCTCCCTAGAGGGGTGGGGGTGACACGAAACCTTGTGAATACCATGGTTCTGGGACACCCTCCTCGCTCAGGCGGGGCCTGCCTGGAGGAGGGGGAGGGGCACGAAACCGTGTAAATAGCATGGTTTTGGGATACCCTCCTCGCTCAAACTACGCCTCCCTGGAGGGGTGGGAGGGTACCACACCTTGTAAATAGTATGGCTTGGGGTACCCTCCTCGCTCGGGCGGGGCCTCCCTGGAGGGGTGGGAGGGGCACGAAACCTTGTAAACAGTATGGTTCGGGGATACCCTCCTCGCTCGGGCGGGGCCTCCCTGGAGGGGTGGGAGGGGCACCAAACCTTGTAAACAGTATGGTTTGGGGAGACCCTCCTCGCTGAGGTGCGGCCTGCCTAGAGGGCTGGAAGGGGCACGAAACATTGTAAGTAGTATAGTTTTGGGTTACCCTCCTCGCTCGGGCGGGGCCTCCCTGGAGAGTTGGGAAGGGGACGAAACCTTGTAAATAACATGATTTGGGGAGACCCTCCTCGCTCAGGCGGGGCCTCCCTGGAGGGGTGGGAGGGGCACGAAACCTTGTAAGTATTACTTACAGTTTGGGGAGGCCCTCCTCGCTCGGGCGGGGCCTCCCTGGAGGGGTGGGAGGAGCACGAAACCTTCTAAAAAGCATGGTTTTGGGAGACCTTCCTCGCTCAGGCGGGGCCTCCCTGGAGAGGTGGGAGGGGCACGAAACTTTTAATATTATGGTTTTGGGAGACCCTCCTCGCTCAGGCGGGGCCTCCCTGGAGGAGAGGAAAGGGGCACGAAACATTGTAAGTAGTACGGTTTGGGGATACCCTCCTCGCTCAGGCGGGGCCTGCCTTCAGGGCTGGAAGGGGCACGAAACCTTGTAAATAGTATGACTTAGGAGCCCCACTCAGGATGTGGAGAACAGAAGACAAAAACAGCAGCAGCAGCAACAACAACAGCACACAACAACAACAACAACAACAACAACAACAACAACAACAACACCAACAACAACAACAACAACAACAACAACAGCAACAATAAGCAACAAGCAACAGCGACAACAATAACAATAACAACAACAGCAACAACAGCAACAACAACAACAACAACCAAACAACAACAACAACAACAACAACAACAACAACAACAACATCATCATCATCATCATCATCATCATCATCATCATCATCATCATCATCATCATCATCATCATCATCATCTCATCATCAGCATCATCATCATCATCATCATCATCATCATCATCATCATCATCATCATCATCATCATCATCATCATCATCATCATCATCATCCATCACCATCACCATCACCATCATCATCATCACCATCATCATCATCAACAACAACAACAACAACAACGACGACGACGACGACGACGACGACGACGACGACGACGACAACAACAACAACAACAACAACACACCAACAACAACAACGACAACGACGACGACAACAGCAACAGCAACAGCAACAGCAACAACAACAACAGCAACACCAACAGCAACACCAACAACGTCAAGAACAACAACAACGACGACGACAACAACATCAGCAACAATAGCAGCGGCAGCAGCCGCAGCAGCAGCAGCAACACCAACAACAACAACTACAACAACAACGCAAACAAACAAACAAAAAAACAAACAAGAACAACGATCAGTCTAAGACTGGTCGCTCTGACTTGTCCGCGTGTCATTCAAAACGAGTTCCCCACACCCTCGATACCCGCCCATGTTGTTTTCGATCACACCCCCTGTAGGGGGATTCGTTCTCTTTGCGGGGGGCGGCGAGCATAGCCAGGCGGGCAAACCTGAACGGGCGGACAACCCTTCGTGGGCGTACATGTGCCCACCATTGGAATTTGTGTGAGCCCTGCAAAAAGAGGAGGGGGAGAGCGAGGGAGAGTGGGAGGAATGGAGTGGGAGGGACGAAGGACGAGGGAAAACGCAAGGAGGGAAGGAGCGAAAAGGGAAGCGGTTGATTAGAGGCAGAAAGAGAGAAAGAGAGAGAGAGAGAAAGAGAAAGAGAAAGACAAAGAGAACGAGAAAGAGAAAGAGAAAGAGAAAGAGAAAGAGAAAGACAGATAAGAGAGGTATAACCAAAAAGAGAGAGAGAGAGAGAGAGAGAGGGGGGGGGGGAAAGAAAAAAAAAAAAGAAAGAAAGAAAAAAAAAAAAAAAAAAAAAAAAAAAAAAAAAAAAAACAAAAAAAAAAAAAAAAGAAAAAGGGAGGGAGGAGGCAGGAGAGGGGAGGGAGACGGGAGGAGGGAGAGAAGGGAGAGAGAATAGGGCAGAGAGGCATAAGGATGAGGGAAGGAAGGAGGGAGAGAGAAGGGAGGAGAGGAGGGAGGAGGGAGGAGGGAGAGGGAGGAACAGCAGGAAGGTAAGGGCGTGAACGTTCGAGGAAGTCATATGCGAAAGCGCTGTTCCTGAAGGAAATCTCGGGCGGGAGCCCACGACGGGCGGGCGATCCCCTAACGAGCGGGTCGGGCGGGTGGGACATTCAAGCGATGGCGAGAGCGCGATTACTTACAGTAAATTGTAACGGCGTCCTTGGCGCAGCGTGTTTCCTGAGCGTCGAAGGCGCGATGTCTGAATACGTAAATCAACGTAAATCAAAACGAAGTCTGTCCAACGTAAATCAAAACGAAGTCTCGAGCGGGAACGCTGGTTTTGTCGGGGCGGCGGCTTTCGGCGGCGAGGAGGAACACCGCCTTGAGTAAGAAAGGAGGAAGCATCGAGCGGGAGCCGTGGTTTTGTCAGGACGGGGGATGTCGGCGGCGAGGAACTGCACCGTCCCAAAGAAAAAAGGGGGGAGAACAAAAACAAACAAAAAAAAAACGAGCGGGAGCGTTGTTCTTGCTGGGGGCGGAGCGGCGCCAATTCAAAAAAGGGTAGGGTGCCAGTCCAGCGTAAAACGGAAGGAATCTAGGAATCTCGGGCGCGAGCGCTGG